ATTATAACAGAAAACTCAGAATTCCTAATGAAAAATAAAAACATTAGACTGGGTAAAAATATAAGTAAAGGTAATAGTCTATGCTACTTCTCATGAATTTCTTGATTCACATTTGATGGTAGGAGCAAAAAATGTATCTCCATCTGATGTGGTGTTCCACATTCAGAGAAACTATTTTAAACACTTATTTTTTAGGAGGGGGAAGGGTAAAGGGACTTAAATGCAAGTAAGGATTATATACTCCATTTGAAAGGGTCAAACTTCAACACAGAAGATTGTGATGAATTATGTACATATATTGTAATATCAGAGCAACCACTAAGGAACTTCAAAAAGGCTATAAGTAAAACAAGATAGAATTAGTTTTAAAAAAGTTCAAGACCAGCAGAAAGGTAAGTAAGGAGAACCAGGAACAAGGAACAGAGCAAACAAACACCAGAAAGAAAATTCTAAGATGGCAGACTTAACCCCTAACACATCAATAATTACCAGTCTTAGACTGTTACGGATACTAGAATAAAATTCCAGAGACTGAGTAGCTTATAAACAACAGAAATTCATTGCTCACAATTCTAGGTTGTTCCAGCTCATGATGCTCAAATTCTAAGATAAGAGTGCTGGAATAGCCAGGCTAAGGCCCTCTTCCGGGTCGCAGGCTTCTAGTTTTATCTTCACATGGTGGAAAGAGGCTAGGGGGCTTTTTGGGGTCTCCTTTAGGAGGACATTAATGCCATTCTTGAGGACTCCACCCTCATGACCTTATCACTCCCAGAGGCCCACCAATACCACCACCTTTGGGGATGAGAATTTCAATGTATGAATTTGGGGGGAACACAAACATTCAGACTATAGCATTACCTTAAATATAAGTTATCAAAAAAGTCCAATTAAAAGATATTAGAAGAGCAAATAAAAATTGGAGCCAACAATATGCTGTCTACAAGGAACTCACTTCAAATACAACATAGGCCCAATGAAAGTAAAAAGATAAAAAAAAAAGATATACCATGCAAACATTAATGTTAAAAAATCAGATTGGCTATATTAATATTATAGTGGGTTTAGTGAAAAAACATAGTATTGACAAAAAAAGACATTAGGATCAATCCACCAGGAAGACAGAACAACCCTAAAGGTGTGCACCTCAAACATCAGAACCTTAGCACATGAAGCAAAAGAGAAACAGAGGGAAGGGGAATAGAAATAACCAGATAGTTAGAGGCTTCAACATTCCACACTCAACAACTCACAGAAAATCAACAAGAATGTAGAAGAACTGAGCAACAGGATCTAATTGACTTACACAGAACATCCACCAATAACAGCAGAATACACATTTTTTTCAAGTGCATGTGAAATATTAATCACCAAGACAGACCACATCTTGTGCCATTCAGTAAGCCCCACCCAAGTTAAAAGAATCAAAAATCACACAGAGTATATTTTCTGGCAATAGCAGAATCAAATTAGAAATCAATATCTGAAAGACAACAGGAAAATCTCCAAACACTTGGAAATTAAACAACACACTTCTAACTAATCCATGGTTCAAAAGGAAGTTTCAAATGAAATATTTTTAAAATACACATAACTAAATGAAAACAAAAATCCAACATATCATAATTTCTGGAACACAGCCAAAGTAGTGGTGAGAGGGAAAATTATAGTATGAAAAATACAAAGGGAAATTGCTAATGTTGATATTAGAAAAGAGGAAAAGTCTCAAATCAATAATCTAAGTTCCTCTCTCAAAGGCACCAGAAAAAGAACAAAATAAGCTCACAGCCAGCAGAAGGAAGAAAATAATAAAGAAAAACGCAGAAATCAGTGAAATTGAAATCAGGAAAACAATAGAGAAAACCAATGAAACAAAAGCTGTTCCTTAAAAAAAAACCTTAACATTTATGTCTAGTAAGACTGATGTATTTGTTTCCCAGGAGCTGTCATAACAAATTACCATAAAGTAGGTGGCTTAAAACAACAGAAATCCATTCTTTCACAGTTTGGGAGGCCAGAAGTCCAAAATCAAGGTTTTCAGAGGATGGCTTCCTGCTGGAGGCTCTGAGAAGAATGTGCACCTCTCTCCTAGCTTCCCAGGGTTGCCCGCAAGCTCTGGAGACCTTAGCTTATAGACACACAGCTGCAATCACTGCTTCCATAGTCACATCATCTGCCCCCTTTTCTTTTAAGTTTTACCTTTATTTTATTTTATTTTTTAGTTGCAGTATACTTGATATGTAAACATCATCTTCATCTCTGAGTATGTGTGTGTCTCAAATCTTTTCTAATGATTTTCATAAGTCATTGGATTTAGGGCCCAATGTAAATTCACAATAATCTTATCTCAAGATCCTTACCCTAATTAAATTTATAATTTAATTAACTTTATTCCCGAGTTCCAGGTGGACATAATCTGGGGGAGGAGTCACAACTCAACCCATTACAACTGACAAAGATAAAATGAGAAAACAAGTCCCCAGTAAAAGGAATCAAACAGGATGTTAGCCTATTTTTTTCATTGTATTCTCTTATTATCTTTTTAATGGCTGCAGGATCTACAATGATATCCCCTGTCCATTCCTAGTTTCAATGGAGAATTCTACTAAACATTTAAAGAGTTAATACCAATTTACACAAACTCTTTCAGAAAATAGAGACTTTCAAATATGAGACTAGCCTGCTACCAAAACCAAGGACTGCCCCCCCAAAAAGAAAATTATGTACCAATCTCTCTCATGAACTTGCACACAAATGTCCTTAGCAAAATATCAGCACAACCAATGCAGTGATGAAAAAAATAGTTATATACCATGACCAACTAGGATTTGTTCCAGGTACGCAAGGCTGATGCAAATTTTGAAAAGAATCAGAGCAATCTACTATATCAAGAGGCTAAGGACTCCCACAAAATCATGACAATTTGGTATAGAAAAAGAATTTGACAAAATCCAATGCCCAGCCATGATAAAAACTCTCAGCAAGTTAGGAATAGAGGGAGCTTCCATGACTTGGTAAAGAACCTCTACCGAAAAGCTGCCACTAGCATCATAGGCTTTAGTGAAGCACATAACAGTCTCCCTCTAAGATCAAGAACAAGGCAAAGAGGTTAGTTCTCACCTCCCATTCAATAGGGTGCTGTAAATTCTAGCCACTGCAGTAAGGCAAGACAAGCAAATAAAAGGCATAGATTGGAAAGAAAAATAACTGTCCTTGTTTGTAGATGACGTGATTGACATGATTGTCTATGTAGAAAAATCTCAAGGTCTCTGCAAAAAATCTCCTAGAACTGATGAGTTCAGCAAGGTTGTAAGATGCAACAGGTACATATAAATATCAATCATATTTCTATATGCTAGTAATGAACATATGGAAATGATATTTAAAATGCAGTGCCACTTATAATTGCTACAAATAAAAGGAAATACTTAGGTATATGCTTAATAAGACATGTACAGGATTTGTAGGCTGGAAATTACAAAATGCCGATGAAAGAAATCAGAGGACCTAAATAGATGGACAGACATACTGTATTCATGAATTGGAAGACTCCGTATAGTAATGATGTCATTTCTCCCCAAATTAATCAATAGGTTTAATGAAATTCCTATCAAAATCCCCATTCTAGGCACAAGCCCTAGAATGCTAAAGCAGTCTTGATAAAGAGAATAAAATGGATGGAATCCCTCCATTTGAGGATCACTGTAGTAGAGCTACAGTAGGCCCAGGTGATATTGTCAAAGGCATCAACACATAGATGAATAGAACAGAAAAGAGACCAAGGCCACATGAACATGCTCAACTGACTTTTAAAAAAGGTAGAGCAGCAATTCAATGGAGGAAGGACAGCTTTCTCAGCAAATGATGCTGGAGCAAGGGGACATAGAACTAAACCTTGTAATTGGTACACAAATTAAACCTAAAATGACGTGGGAATCACATGTAGAACACGAAACCTTAAAACTCTGGGGAAAATATAGAAAATCTTTAGCATCTACAGCTAGGCATAGAGTTCTTAGACTTGGAGTAAAAAACACAGTACATTTGGACCTCCTCAAAATTAAAAGCTTTTTTCTGTGAAAGCCCATGTGAAGAACATGAAAAGAGACTACAGGTCTGGAGAAAATATTTGCAAATCTCATATCTTGCAAGGCCTAATATCTAGATTATATCAAGAAATCTCAAAACCCAAGAGTTAAAAAAAAATCCAATTAGAAAATGGTCAAAAGGCACAAATAGATATTTCACCAAAAAGGACATAGAGCAAATCAGCACAATGAAAAGATATTCAGCATCATTAATCATCAGAGAAATGCAAAAATTAAATCCACAGTGAAATATCATTGCTCACCTATTGGAATGGCTAAAATAAAAACAATGAGAGTGCCAAATGCTGGTAAGGATGTGGAGAAACTGAATCACTTGTACATTCCTGGTAGGATGTTTCTAGAGAAAACCGAACATGCCAGTACCAGATGACCCAGAGACCGCACCTTGGGGCATTATCCCAGAGAAATGAGAAATTATATTTACACAAAATCTGATGCATAAATATCCATAGAAGCTTTATGCATAATAGTCAATATATGAATGATTAAACAAACTTTGCTATGTCATATCATGAGCTCAGCAAATAAAAGGAGCTATTGCTAACATGCTATGTGCAACCACTTGGATGAATCTCGAGGGAATTAGCTGAGGGAGAAGAGCCAACCCCTAAAGGTCATATACTTTATTATTCCACTGATGTAACATTTTCGTAATGACAAAATGACATAAATGAAAAGCACATTGATGGTGATCAGGGCTCTGGGATGGGGCCTGGGGATGCGGGATGTGTGTGTGGCTATAAAAGAGCAATAGGAATACCCTTGTGATGAACTCTTCTGTATCCTGACTGTATCAATGTCAATACCTAGGTTGTGATATTGTGCATAGTTTTGAAAGGTGTTGTCCTTGTATTATTTATTACAACTACATATGAATCTATAATCATCTCAAAATTTAAAAACTTGGTTTTATTTTTAAAATATTTGTACACACACATACAGTAATAGGAGACAGAAATGTACACAGAGGAAAGAATGTGCTAAGTGGGGAATCAGAAAAGTTTCATGGATGATACAGCCTTTAGCCTGATTTTTACAAGGTGAGTGGAAATCCTCTGATGTACAAAGAAAGAGAAAAAGGGCATTGGAATTAATGGCAATATTACTCCCAGGTGAGTAGACAAATTTGTCCACAGAGGGGAAAAAAAAGAAGTTCAGGATGTATTACCTCTTTAACTGGTATTTCTGGTGGGGGCCTCCAAATGGAATCATCCAAGAGCAGGGTGGTCAGAAAGTCAATTTAGCTTAAACAAAACTGTGCCTGTTGTCCTCTACCTTAGTAAAATAAATTGACTTTAGTGCTGGTATGGAATTAGAAAATGTGGAGGTGGCTTCTGAATTATAATCAAGGTAATTATTTTGTTGATGAAAGCCTTTTTTTCTCAAATATCATCAGGAGCAAGGGGACATAGACATCATCAGGAAAAATAAATCAGTCAATGCTTTCATTTGAAGAGATTTCTGCAATAGTGTATTGATTATAGGGGGATGTTTCTGTGTTGTTTTTTAGCAAAGTTGCAGTGCCATTAAGGGAATCTAGCCAATCTGCTCTTCCTGAATGCATCAAAAGGAAGGTCTGAGATTCCAGAACCACATCGTCATTTGGAAAAGCAAGTTAACACAAAGATAGGATTAAGGTAAGCAAATTAGCTTAATATCCACATTGGAATGCAAGCCTTCCAAACAGCGAATATTTCTGTGCTTATTGTTATCTCATCATATCACTTTCTAGAATGAATTAATCTGCCTAAAGAAGAGCCTCACTGACCACAAGGCTACCTGGAGATGTATTTAAGCCACAAAATCTGGTGGACACTCCAAAACGAATTCATGAGACTCCCCTCAGCATATCCAATTTTTAATGAATAAAGGAAATATTTTCATTGTTAGGTGTGAAATCTGCAAATGATTTCATCAACTTTGACTACATCTATCAGCAGCAATAATCTGAAGCTGGCAGGGAAGCAGACCTCAGCAGTGGGGCAAATGCAGTACTTTACACAGGGCTGGGGGCATAGCTTTAAATGCTATTCAATTAATTCTTTGTTTTTAGTCTTTAGTTTTTCTAGGATACTTCACTTCTCTCCAGACCCCAGGCTGAAGCTAACTTGATGAGTTTTATCAGGGCTGACTGGCCCTGGAAACATAGAAAAGGAAACCAGCCTCGTCTTTGGCCTCCATCTTTATCATCCAACAGTTAATTTTCCTCCTTCACCACCTGTCTCTAAGCTCGCCATGTTCTCCAGCTGCTCCTCACAATCTGCCTACCTTCTCCTAGAAATCTAAGTGGATTTGGCATGTCACCAGCCTGACCAGAGAAGAGTATCTAAAATGTGAATGAGTTGTAGATGAGCTTTGCTTTTAAGTCACCTTTGAGAAAATGTGTGGGCCTGGGAAAGTCATTTTCCAGTTGACTGGCTGATGATCGGATGCAGATTGGTTCCCAGTTGTCACATAGCATAGTGGCAGGCTTCAAACAAGCACCTTCCAACTGCCAGAGGCTGTGCTGGGTACTGGGATAACAAGAACAGGATGTAATCCATGCCTTCAGGTAGCGTCAGGTCTGTGAAGAATACAGGGACCGAAGGGATAATTACAACACACAATTAGTTGCTCCACCTTAGAGTTTCCACTGCATTAAGTACAAACGTCTGTTGGCACTTACCTCATACCAAGATTTCTTCAGCTCGTAACACAGCAGCAGGCATATAGCAGGTTTTCAAAATATCTGATGATATAATGCATAGATAAACAAATGAACAGGCAAAATATTATTGAAGTACCAATGTAGAGCATGGCAGAGGCAATCTGGCAGGAGGAAAAAGGAAGTCTTGTAATGATGGTCATTTGAGCTGAGGCTTAAAGCATGCCCAGCGTGGTATCTGGCCTGGAAGGAGCCCATGGAGCCAGACAGGTGGAAGCCTCTATCCAACAAAGCGGAAGTCCAGATAGATAAGGAAGCATTTGGAGGCAAGCGTGTTCCAGTCAGAAGTACCTCCAGCACCTAGTTTCATGCCTGGGACGTGGTAGGAACACAAGAAGCACTTGTGGAATGGGTGAATAGATGAATGTAATAAACAGCATATATACAAAGTCACTAGTATTGTGGCAAAGTAGCCATGTTTGGGGAATGGTATATTTGGAAAATTATAAAATTATAAAATAGAGAAAAGGAAAGATGGTTAAAGCAAAAAGAATAGAAAATACAAGAAAAGTATAATGTAAGGAGCAGAGCTGCCTGGAGTTAGGGGAACTGGGCAGGGAGAAAAGGACATCTTTTAATGTGAGCATGAGAATGGTCCGGGAACCACAGAGTGGGAGGTCTGGTGTCTGTGAGGAGTGGACATAAGGATTGTATACCACCAGGGTCAAAAGAAATTTCCTACAACAGGTCTCTGGCTGGGAACAGGAGTACAGTAAACTATTAAGGAAAGACAGTCTCTCAAAGGATCATGGTCTGGAAGGAGCTGACGCATAAGGAAAATAAAGCTAAAAGTCAGGAAAAAATCAATTGTCTCTAAGTTGGGGCCAATCTGAGTGAACTTAATTAGACTGTGTTTTAGTTATCTGTTTCTGCATAGCAAGTCACCTCAGGAGTTAGTGGATCTAAACAACAATAAACGCTTTTTATGTCACACAGCAGCTGTGAGTCAGGAATTCAGTTTAGTGGTGGCTGTGGCTCAAGGTCTCTCATGAGGTGCCAGTGAAGATGTTCCCTGGGGCCACAGTCACCTGAATGCTTCCCTAGAGCCTGAGAGTAACTCAGTCATGTTTGGGGATTCACCCTACATGGAACTTTCCACACAGGTTCTTAAAGTCCTCAGGGCATGCAGAGTCCAGAAACAGACCCAGATATATATCTATATGTGTATCTGTATTTATCTATATCTACATCTACATCTATCTAGCTAGCCAGTTGACTTTAGCAAAAATGCAAAGGTAATTCCATGAATATGAGTTGTCTTGTCAACAAATGGTGCTGGAACAATTTATGTTAAAAAATTGAATTTGGTCACTATCTCATATATTTTTAAAAAACTAAAATGGATCACAGACCTAAATGTAAACCCTAAAACTATGAACCTTGTGTGAGAAAACATATGAGAAAACCTTTGAAACTTTAGGTTGATCAAAGCTTTTTTACAACAACAAAAATAATACGCTTTTCAAAATTAATGTTGGACTTCATCACATGAGGAACTTCTATTCTTCAAAAGGCACAGTGCCACAAAATGGGAAAAGTATTTGTAAGTTACATATTTGACAAAGGATTTGTATCCAGAAGATATAAAGAACTTCCTTGAAACTCAATAAGAAAACCCAGTTTTTGAAAACCACTAAAAGATTTGAACAGACCAGTAAAAATATTCAGATGGTAAACAAGCCCATGAAAAGATATTATCAGTCATCAAGAAAATGCAGTTTAAAACCATAGTGAGATACCAATATGTGCCTAATTAAAATGGTTAAAAGACCAACAGTACCAAGTGCTGGTGAAGAGCAACTGAAGCTCTCCTGCTCTCCTGCTGGGAATGTACACTGGTGCAACCATTTCAGAAAATAGTTGGCCATGGCTTAAAGAGTTAAGATGACACCTACCATAGGACCAAGACATTTGACTTCTAGGGATCATAAATCTAAATTTCTTGGGATTTATTAAAAGGAAATGAAAGTATTTGCTCATCAAAGGGCTGCCCACGAATGTACATAGCAAGTTTATTCCCAACAGCCCCAAACTGGAAACAATCCAAATATAAATGAGTAGGGGAATGCATAAAGAAATTGTGGCATGCGCATACCATGGACTACTATTCAGGAATAAAAAGACATGAACTATTGATATACTACAACAGGGATGAAGTTCAAAATAATTATGTTGAAGGTACACCCTCTATGATTCCATGTTATGAAATTCCAGGAAATTCAAACGAATCTGTAGTATCAAAAAGATATCAGTGGTTCCTTGGGGCTGGGGAGAGAAACAGGGATGTCCAGGAGGGAGGAGTGACCAAGGGGCTTTTCTGGAGTGAGGGGTATGTTCCTTATCTTGATTGTAGTAAGGCTTCACAATTATATACATGTGCAATTAGTTTAAGTCTATTATACCTCAATTAAGCTGTTAAAAAGAATGCAAGTTCTCAATTTACCCACTGTGTACCCTTTCCCAGAACTACAGAGGATGTACTCCACAAAAATAAGGGAGTAAACCAAGAAAGAAGACATGGAACCCCAGACACGGAATTCAATGCAGGGGAAAGAAAAAGGGAACCCCAGGATAATGGTGAAAAGTTATCTCAGCACCACGACTCTGCAGGAAATCTGGAGTGCAGCCAGTTGGACTATGACCAGGTCAGAAAGTGCTGGAGAGATTTTCTTCAAGATGAAACTGATAGAATGGCTAATATGTCCTAATATATTGATTTACTCAAGCTGAGCAGAGTCTGGAGATAACTTATAATAGGCACACAGAAAACTTAGCATGTGATGAAGTAAGAAAATTATTGACTCCAGGAAAAATAAAACATTGTGCAAGAGAATAATGTCTTCTACATGGCTCTGCTCTAAATTGTGCTTCCATTCAAGTTCATCATCATGAAAATGTCAACAGTGCATAGCAATCTAGCTAAATTATAGTGTAACTACATTAGTAGGATGAGGTTATGCGACATATATGTGCAGTAGGTTAAGTTGACCCAAGGAGTAAAATCTGCCTTGTCCATGCTGGAAACAATAGGTGATTTCTAAAATTGAAAAATCAAAGAGTCTCAACAGATTTAGATACATAGAGATAATTAGAGAAGGAGTAGCTAAAGGAATTGGAAATCATTGTTGCTGGGGAAGGAGGGACAAGAAATGGAGAGTGGGTGGTCTGGGAACTGCTGATGTAGGCAGCGACTTTACTGAACCATTTTACTCAAACTCCGTGTATATATAATTTTGATAAAATTAAGAACTAAATTAACATATATGGTGCAATAAAAAATCTCTCATTTAGCAGAGTGGTGATGGTTGTACAATATATAAATATGCTTAATGCCATTAAACTGTACACTCAAAAATGGTTAAAATGGTCAATTTTATGTTATGTATATTTTACCACAATAAAAAAAACACATTTATTCTGAAACAACATGTGGATTATATGCAAGAATCTTCAATGAACGATGGATGACAAAGACTAGATGGGGCAAGAAGTGGAGGAAGGAAGTGGGGGGTAGCGGGGCTTTGAAGGTTCAGGGTGGAGGAAGCTGGGTAGGGGAGGAGATGCATGTGTGGGAACAGAGAATGACTGAGCCCCCTCTCCCGAGTCTTGGTACTAAGTATGCTTTCAGGGATCGTCGAAATGTTGAGTTCAGCTGGTTGAAAATGTACCTCCTACAATAGTTTTTTGGTGAGTGGGAAGCTATAGATCTCTTAGAAGGAGGAATTAGTTTCATCTTCTTTCCCTATTGGGCGATGCTACACACTCACTGTTTGCTTCTCTCAACTTCAAGTCTTTGATCCGAACAGACACTCTGGTGGAGGCCTTCGTTCTTCAAATGTGCGCCCCTCCTTGGTGAAGCTGCTTTTCTTGCCAAGCATTTTCATGAGAATAATCTACCTCCCCTTATTCTGTGGTGATTTCACTTCAGTATCAAAGGGCAACCCCGGGTTTGGAGGTGGGGTGTACATTGGGTCTTCGCCATCCCTGCCCAATCAATCTGCATTTCACCCTTCAAGCCATGAAGATCTCGTGTATTTCCACTCCTCGGTGAAATCTTCCCTGACCATCCCAACTTCTGCACCACCTGCCTCATATATATTACAACCCAGAATGTTCTCTTGGTTCTTCAAATGTAGAAGCCATTATTGTCCAAAATAACTTATGGGTGTCCACCTGCAGGACCCCCTCAGCCACGCCTCGAATGGGAACACCATGGGTTTAATATTACATGCTTGTGATGGCACCAGGTACCAGGTCAAAGAAAAAAGTGTTAACCAACCTGTTAACACGACACAAATTATAAATTCTGCTTCTTTGTATGGGTGTCTGCCTCACACATCTACTTGTTATTTTTTTCTCTGGGTGTTTCATGCATCAATATAAAGAGAAAGAAATATAGGGATTGAGAGTGTTTTGTGTTTAAATGGTAACACCACACCCCTAAGTGACCCCAGGTGGTGGGCAGGGAAGAAACTTCTGGCCTGTGGTGTAAAAAGCAGGTTGATACTGGTTAGTTCATTCTATTTTAACATGGAGAGATGGTTATTCATATATGAATTATTAGCAACAGTTTGTCCCAGATGAAGTGGGTTCTGGGAAACTAACACAAGAGTAAATAACACCTGAAATATGAAACAGGAACACAGCACTTTAATATCCTTCAATATTTTTAGAATGGATACCAATTTTATTTAGGAATTGAAGCATACAAATTTTCTCCCTTTGTGTTTAAGAGCTTACTGAGTTTCAATTAAAATTTTACCAAAATCTGGCTCCTTCCAACTTGAACCAGTTCAAAGTAAGGTTTTTTTTCCTTGTTACTGTCAATGTATACAAATGCACTAAACACCAAAAAGCTCGCCAGGTGGGTTGTACCCACAGATACTTTTGAATTCTCACTCTTCATGCAAGAGAGATACAAGTGTGAAAACAAAATTGGCACATACGTCAAAAAGTAGTTATTCGAGAGAGACAAGGGCGCTAGTCAGAGGCGCGAATGCCAGTGGGGAGAGAAGATTCCCAAGCGCCTCCCGGCATCTGCACTGGGTGTTGAGGAGACTCATCCTCTGGCCCTGAGGCAGACAGCAAAATCCCTACCTGGGTGATTTCCCAGACTGACCCTGAAGCGGGTTTGCTCAGAGTGGAAGTTGCTCTGCAGCTTTCCGTCTAGTCTCCCCACCGAACGCTGTTTCCACACTGGCCAGATCCAAGCTAGAGAGTAACAAAGTGCGCCTTGTTGAGTATGATGTGAACACATTTCTGAGGGGCTCTGTGAGGTCCCCAGTTTGCCAGGCTGGCTAGCTGCCCAGGCATTTCCTCTCTGAGAGTCTGCAGAGGAAGAAGGCAGGGGCGGATGCCATGGGTAGAGGCATGGAGAGATTCTTGTGGCTCCAGGTGGGCGGCCAGGGATGCCAGGGAAGGTTAGCAAGCCTTGGAATTCTGGAGACCCTGGACTCTGCAGAAGGTTGAGGAAAGTATGTTTTCATTTAATTACTTTCAGAGGTATCAGTATATAGCTCCCCAAACCACTTTCCTATAGCTAATCAAGGGCACACATGCTGAGGCCCACTGAGCCGCAAACCAAGGCGCTGAGATCACAGAGGCATTTCTCTCTGGGCAGAAGTTCAGCAGATACAAAATTACTGAGAAAACACTGATGGATATGCAAATGAGCGGTATGGGGATTGTATGGGCTAGGATGCTTCTGGAAAGAGAAAGCCTGATTTAAACAGGCTTCAGTGATCAGAGAGATCTACGGGCTCATTGAACTGAGAGGTCTAGAAGCAGGGCTATGAAGTCCTGACCCAGAAGCTGTATTCCAGTTCTTCCCAACTCTCAAAGCCACTTGCTGCTTCCTCCAGAGCTTGGCTTCCCATGGTCCTGAGATGGCTGCCACCAGATTCCAGGGCCGCAGGCTTTTGTCTGCAGGAGAGAAAGTGACTTTGTCACACCATTCCACTAAATGTCCTGAGGACAGTGCTGACTGGCCTGTGGGTTTCGTGACCCTATGAAGCCCTCACTGTGGCCAGGAGACCGACTGCATTATCTGAATCAACCTCTATAGCCCAGGTCAACCACAGGGGTAGGAAATTGTTCAATTTATCAATAAATGTGTGTCTGTGAATGCTAGGGGCACAGGGTAGGGGGGCATCTGACTCTGCCCGAAAAGGAGATGGTGTGGGTGGGGAGAGGAGTCTAGGGGATGGTTTACCGAGAAGAGATGGCAGCAGGCACCACAGTGTGCAGAACCCTGAATGCCATGCTAAGAAAATTTGATCTTCAAACCAGAAGGAAAGAAGCTGTTCAAACAAACCCACATAAGCCTGACAGACTCAACCCTGTCAAAGCACAATTTTCACAAAGTCAAAGCATGGCTCTGTAAATATAGGATGAGTACATATCATAAACTTTATTCAGCTCATTAAATAATGAGGGATCTAGTAAGGGTATAAAGTTGGTTTGAAGAGCTTCCAAGAGACAAGCGCTTAAATAGCTCGTTAGGAAAGGCAGTTTGGGAAAGAGAGGTTAGAAGAACCTTATTCGGTTGGGTATAAAACATGACTGCTTTGGAGCAATGAAATCACAATCTTTGGGGTGACCTCTTCTACCTGAGAGAAATAACCGCATTTCTGCTGGACAGGATGAAAATCTGCAGGTTAATGCTTTGCTGCCTCAGGTCTGAGCCTTTAATTAATAGTAACCAGCAAAGTAAAACAACAGTACAGCCTCCTAGGCCCAGAGAACTAGATAATCCTTCAATGGGGCTGTTAATGCTTTAAACATGAAAAACACAGTTATCTTCTTGGCTTTATTTCCAAGTTTGTGATAATTTTTCTTCATACCAGAGCAAATCTGTTTAAAACAGTTTTGCAGTTCTTCAAACGGACTTGAGCATCAGAGTACTGTGAATCCTGCTAATTATAATCAATTTTAATTAGTTGTTAAAAAAAGAGACATTTTGACCCATCCTGGGATGGGAGGTGGTTGAATTCAGCCACCCTTCACTAGGAGAGGTCTCCTGCTACCGTCAGGCTGGGAAAGAGTCAGGCAAGAGAAGCCAGCGGAAGTGAGAAGCACCCACAGAGACGACTTGTCCCAGGGTTCTTCAGAGCACAGCTGGAGTGGAAATCAGGGCTTGTTTCAACACAGCCGGTCCAGGAGACATTAATTTTGAACCCATGCTAGGCTGCCATAGTCCCATTTCCTGGCCCCACTCTTGCCCATGAAGTGTTTTGGTTCAAAAGGAGACACATTCTATACACTCAATAATTAAGTATGGCCAAGCTAAGCCATGTTTAGACCCACATTTTTGGATAACAGATTTATTAATGGGCTGGTTGAGAGAATTGAACCATTTGGTGTTTGGAGAACTGGAAATGTTTAAAATAAATACTTGGCCTCCTTTCTCTCCGACCGCTGCGATATGTTCAGTTATTCTAAGGGATGAAATGTCCATATTGAAGGTTAGTTTAGTAGAAATTGCTTAATAGCTTTTCACTAAACATATAAGGCAAAACATTCAAATGCTAATACCCATTTGTATGAAATGGAAAGCATTTATTTCCAAAGCAGCTCACCGAGCTGTTTATTGTTGGAGTCTTAGATGTAATAGTTTCCATGCTACAGAGAACATACCCCACCCACACACCCCAAAACTAGGGTTGCTACATTTAGCAAATAAAAATACAATATGCCCAGCTACACCAGAATATTAGAAAAACAATGAATGATTTTTTTAGTGTGGCTGTACCCCATGCAATATTTGGGACATAGCTGTGGTAGGCTGAAAAGTGGTCCACAAAGGTGTCCATGTTCTAATCTCTGGAAGCTGTGACTATGTTACCTTACATAGCAAAAGGGACTTTGCAAATGTGACTTGATTAAGGCTCTTCAAACTGGGAGATTATCCTGGATTATCTGGATAGCCCAGAGCAATCGTGGGACCCTTATAAGAGGGAGGCAGGAGGGTCAGAGGCAGATTGGAGCATCCTACAGAGCTGACTGTAAAGATGGAAGAAAGGCCCAAAGAATCTGCAAGTGACTTTTAGAAACTGGACTAGACGATGAAGTGGATTCTCCTTTCAAGCCTCCACAAGGAACACAATCCTGCCGACACCTTGCTTGATTTTGGCGCCTGGAGACCCACTGGGATTGCGGACACACAAAACTGTAAGGTAATAAATTGTGTTGCCTTAAGCCACTAAGTTTGTGGTGATTTGTTATAGGAGCAATAGTAAACTCACTCAAGCCTTATAAATTATTTGTTGTGTATCTGACATTCAAATTAAGTAGCCTGCATTTCATCTGGCAACACTACCACCTAAAACATGGAAGCATGAAGCAATGAGGAGACAGATGGCGCCTTCGCACAGGAGACAGGGGACAACTGGCTGGGACGAATCACCACCATCAGGCCTGAGCCCTCCAGTGCTTGGAGGGGTTTGGCCAGATGATCACTATGGTTCCTTTGTGGGCCATGATTTCACTGAGAAATATTCTTTGGCCAGCACAATGTAAAACAAATAGATTTTAGTGTTCATAGTTCAGGACGGGTGTCTTCATTGGCTGAGTGCATTTGCATGTTTGCATCCTGTGATCTATCTCAGTAGCTCTCCTTTGACCAAGGCCCTGAGTCTGGACCACCCTCTGGGCCATCTGTGTGTCTGCTGGACCACAGGGTGCTCTGTTCTCACGCTTCTTTCTCTCTCCTTGCTGCCTGGTCACGCCTCCTAACACAGGCTGAGACAGTGCTAGTTGGCCTCTGTATCAGGATCTTACGCCGCTGTGACAAATTACTCCAAACCCAGCAGTTTAAACAACACATCTACCTTACAGTTCTGAAGGTCGGAACTTCAAGTAGGTCTCACAGGGCTAAAATCAAAGCGTCACAGGGAGGCATTCCTCCTGTAGGCTCTGGAGAATCTAGAATTTCCTTGCCTCTTCCAGCTCCCAGATGCTGCTTGCTTGCCCTGGCTCATGGCCCCACCTCACTTCGACTTCTGCTTCTGGTGTCATATCTGCTCTGACTCTGGCCCTCTGGCCTCCCTCTTCTAAGGACCCTGGGACTGCATCAGGCACACCAGTTAATGCAGGATGATCTCCCCATCTGAAGAGCCTTAACAACCTCTTCTGCAAAGTGCCTTTTGTGTGGGGTTCCAGCAATTCGGACGTGGATGTCTGGGGAGCTGCTGTTCTGCCGTCGCAGCCCCTTGGTCTCTAGTCTCTCCTGCTTCCTTTCCAGCAGGGCTATCGTTTCATTCAGGGTGACAACAGCCTGGCCAAAACAACGTGTTACCAAGTCTCCTCAAGCTGCAAGCGGTCCTGTGTCATAGTCTGTACAGTGAGATGATAGAGAAAGTAAAGCTGTGGCTTCCAGGAGGGCCACTGATTTCTTGATTAGAAAAGGCAGGTTCAGCTGGCACACACCCTTATCCCCTCCCATTAGCTCTTCCTCCTGCTAACGTCACAACAGAAGGTGATGTGACACCCAGAAACCACTGTATTGTGAGCACAAGAGTGAAAACCACACGTGACAGACGGCATAGCAAAAACAAATGATCTGAGGCCCCTGGTGTCACTGTGGAAATACCTGCGCAACCTAGTCTGCCAATCTCCAGACTCATTACCTAAGAAAAAGAACCTTTTAATTGTTGGCACCAAGGTCATCAGTTCATGCAACTGAACCAGGTTTAACAGACATCGGTTCTGTCTAAATCCTTGCTTCTCAGAGTGCTCCCGGGGCCAGCAGCAAGGATGTCACTGGGCAGCGTTTCAAAGCGCAGAATCCAGGGCCCTTCAGATCAGCAGAACCGGAGTGTGCATTTTAACAAGAAAGCTATGCACTTACACTTGCTGGGGTCCATCTGTATGCACTTCAGAGTTGGAGAAACACTGCTCAGGAGCTCAGAGGGGAGGGAACAAAACCACCCTAGGTTCTTTGACCCTAAGCTGGAAAACAGGTCTGTCTGGAAACGATGCTACCCTTGGGATTGACTGGGAGAAATTTCAAACCTTGGGAGGTGGGTGCAAAATTACATACACACAATCATTAAGTATGTTTCTCACCCACACACCAGTTCCTCTGATTCTACTCTTTCCTTGTTTCTGCTCTAAAGTTGGGTTTCATTACTAGTCAGTGTAAGACCCCCCATCTCTTTTATTCAAGCAAGACCAAACTTGTAAGGAGGTGAAGGGTGGGTGAAATCAGGAAAAGGAGGAGGATTACCTCTTCTTTTAAAAACTCTTGGTGGTTTGTTAATACACCTGAAATGTCTTTGGTGTGATCTGCAATCCAGATTAGGGAAGTGCAATAAAGGTAGAAATCCACAGAGAGGGAGATCCAAAAGACCTTCAACACACAGCATTTCTCATTTCTTTTTAATCTCTGAGTTTTCTCCCTTTAATATGGACCCTAAATTGCATACTAATTTATATCAGAATATTACAAAGAAACAC